GAAAGTAGGCAGAGAGTGGTCTGACCATTAGACTTCAGAGAGTAAAGTATAGTATACTTGTAAGGCTTAAGGAAGCAGGCAGAGATCGGTTTGACCGTAAGGTTTCGGGAGTAAGCATAGTATACTTGTAAAGATTATGGAAACAAAAAGGATGACTTTGAAAGGAGTCAGAGGATGATATGTTACGGGGTTGTGGTATTAGAGCAAGTTTTCGAAATCCTTTTGGGGTTGTAGGGAATGAACTCGTTATTCTTAGTAAAACTCTATGCTTTATTATGTTTATGGTGTGAATTGTTATTTAGTCTTTTTTGAAGAAATTAATGTTATGTATGATATGCTAAAATGTATTATGTTTTTCAACGGACAAATCGCTCAAACCCTGGAACGAATAGTCAACAAGATGCAACAACAACAAGTTGATCAAGTATCTCAAAATTATTCTAGCTTGAATGATTTCCTAAAACATGACCCTACTAAGTTTAATGGGGAGGCTACCCCTGATGGGGTCGACTCGTGGCTAAGGCAGAATGAGAAGATTTTTCGGGTGATGACTTGCTCAAAAGAACATAAATTAACATATACAACGTTTCTATTGGTGGGTGAGGTCGAATATTGGTAGGATAATATGTAAAAGTTGATGATGGTTCGTTGTGAGGTTGTGAATTGGGAAAACTTTAAGACAATGTTCTTGGAAAAATATTTTCCAAATAATGCAAAATTCACAAGGAAGGCGGAATATTTGACCTTACAACAAAGAAGGTTATCAGTACAAGAATATGTGGTAAAAGTTAACTATCTCTTGAGGTTTTATACCTAGAATATTACGGAAGAATGGAGATGCCAAAAATTTGAGGGAGGGCTAAGACATGAGCTGAAAAATGTATTTATGCCATTAGAAATACAGGAGTTTCTAGCGTTAGTAAAAAGGGCCAAAATGGTATAGTTGTTAAAGGTTGATCCGAATAGGGTTTTTAGACCTTTGAAAGGCGAATCATCAATGAAATTTCACAAAAAGCCATATGATAAACTACAACTATCCTATTGAGGAACATTGAAGTGTTTTGAGTTTGGTGGGACACATTTCCTATGCGAATGCCCTAAACTTATTGGAGAAAAAAGCTAAAGTGAAGAGATGCTTCATTTGCAACAAGCCGGGATACTTTGCCAATGTTTATCCCAAGAAGAAGAAAGTGGGTGAACCACAACAATATGATTCTGCTGAAATAAAACCTCGGGAAATAGAAAGAGTCTGTGGAGAAGGCTACCAAACCAGATAAATTAATCTTACACACCTGTATGTTGCTAGGAAATTTTGATGTGTTTTGTTTGATTTTGGAGTCACACACTCTTTTATATCCCTAACATGTTTGGAAAGACTCAGATTACCCATACGTGATCTAGAGTGTGAATTGATGGTTTCTACAGCATCGGGACCGGTCTTGGGCATTGACACTTTTGTCATGATGATTAATGGTTTTCTTAAGCAAGGTTGCCGCCTGTGAGTATTTTAAAGAGATGGTTGGAAGAGGCCTTTTTACTCTTCTACTCAATATGGTACCTTGAAGGAGCTGATGAATTTTGTTGTAAGAGCTCAGAAGCTTGAAATGACCAAAGATAAGATTTTTGGAATTGTATCATAAGGGTGTAAGCTATATGTGAGTGCATGGACAATATGAATTCATGTACTCTTTTCAAAAGGACATGTGAAAGAGGCTTGTTCATTTATATATATATATATATAGATATAGATATATATATAGATAGATAGATATAGATATATAGATAGATAGATATAGATATATAGATAGATAGATATAGATATATAGATAGATAGATATAGATAGATAACAAAAATAATTAGAAGGAAAAATAGTTTCTTATCATTTTTTTTTTCTGAACTTTAGCATCACCTGGTGGGATAAAGTTTGTTGATGTTCCTGATTGAATTTGGCCCTTTTAACATGTTCATTATTAGTTAAAAAAAACTATGTATTTGATTCTCATTTGTATAAATTTACTGAAAACTAGAAAATCAGAAGAAACTCATTAAGTGAGAAGGGAAACCAACTAAAATTTGTAGTTGTTAATAAATTCCAATCAATGTTAAAAAGGGATGTTCGAAAGAGTGTATTGCTGGTATTTTTCTGTACTTTATTTATGCTGTCTCAGCAAAGATTGCAGACTAACTAAGAATTATGATTGATATTTGTATGTTTTCTTGTGATTATGTAAAATGCTTCTGAGCAACTATTCTTCGTGGGTTTCCTGCATTGATCGGTACTAGACATCTCAAATTTGGATTTTTCAGGTCATTTTTTTTGTTTTTATTTCGGACCATATGGACCAATCGTTTTGGGTATGGTGTTCTTTCTCTTCATTATTGCATGAATCGGTACTAATTGTAGCTATGACATTATTGCATAGAGGTCTACATTTCGAAATTATTCTCGATATGCTGTAACTGTGATAATTGTACCTTGTTAACATTAAACTTTTATTAAAATAAGTTAATCAAAATTAAAAAAAAATATTAGTGAATGAGTTGATATTTTATTGTTTGAATTGTGAACTTTTTCATAAAGAACTTACAAATTAATATTAATTTATAAAAAGGTTTAATCCTTTAGTACATCCCTATTTATGTACGAATGTCTCAATTGGGTCCTCGTTTTTTAAAGTGTATCAAAATGGTCCTTAATTTTGAAAATTCATATCAATTGAGTCCTTTCCGTTAAGTTGGCTGGACGGCGTTAAAAAAATTGATGAGTGGATGCTGAGATGACGAACGGACGCTCGTCCACCAGCGGACGAACGCTCGTCCATCAGCGAACGAACGCTCGTCGACCACCGAACGAACGGTCGTCCAGTGTGGAACGAACGGTCGTCCAGCAGTAAGAGCGTTCGTTTTCTGGTGGACGACCGTTCGTTCTCTGGTGGACGAGCGTTCGTTCGCGGGTGGACGAGCGTTCGTTCGTCATCTCAGCATCCACTCATGAATTTTTTTAACGCCGTCCAACCAACTTAACGGAAAGGACTCAATTGATATGAATTTTCAAAATTAAGGACCATTTTGATACACTTTAAAAAACGAGGACCCAATTGAGACATTCCTACATAAATAGGGATGTACTAAAGGATTAAACCTTATAAAAATAATCTTTTTCTTAATTTAATTTTAATAAACTATTTATGAAAAAAATTATTCAAATATGTCCAAAATCATTTGAAGATACTTTAAAACATCACGTCCATTAGAATAGACAACTATCCCACGTCCATTAAACTAAAACGTGTATGTTTAGGCAACATGAAAGTGTTTTGGACGTATACTCCTTTTAGAAAATTATTTTGTCCAATTGTAATAATGTGTGTTATATTTATTGAATTAGTACAGTTTTAAATTTAGTCAAATTATGGTTTTTAAAAATTGTGTTATATTTACAGTATCAGCACAGTCAAATTTTGTATGTTCTTTTAATTAATCAAAAAATGTTTGGGGAAATTGAAATTAATTATGCAGTATTTAGTATTTAATTAATGAGTAATGGTAAGATAATACATTTTTACATTCATTTAATATATAATATAAAGATAAAATTATCATAAAAGAATAAATTTTTATATTTTTTAAAAAAGAAGAAAGTAAAAAATGAAAAAAAATATATAAAAAACTTATGTGTGTCCATCATTTCTCTTAATTAATTATTCAATTGGAATATTTCTTTCCATTATTTATTATATATATTCGTTTGGAGGCAGGCAAGATGGCGTTGTGATTGAAGATTAGGGAAAGGTGACCACTGATTGCATTTTCACCTGTAACTTGTATCAATTTTCTGTTTAGCTGGGAAGAAGATTGTCTGTAATGAAATGAATGATATTTACAAATTTTGAACTAATATAGCTTTTGTTTTACATGTGAACTGTCTAGGTTTCATTTGTGGAGAAAAAGGAAGGGTTATTTAAGATGGTATGACAGCAAAATCCAAGCCCACCAGCAAGGGTCGAAGGCAAGAGCCCAGAGATGAAACATGGAAGTGTTAAAAAATCCTACATGATGGTGATGATTTACATGGGAGAATTTGGTGACCTATGAAGATGCTATTTGTACTATGGTTGGCCACTTTTGGCAGGACCAGCAAAAAAGGAAGAAACATACAAGGTTTTATGCTTACATCATTGGACAAGTGGGGACACTCTGTGAAACATCTGCATATCAAGCGTGCTTAGCCTCTATCACGTTTTCAATCCTTTTTGTCTTTCAACCAATAACTCTAGTGCACCATGTCATTCAATTTTGGGCATGGAGACAGATTCCAAATCCCCACTTCTCTATCTGCTTTTTCTGCTGTTACTTCCAATTCACTGTGCTAATTTTTCCTCTCAATCTCAAAAACTTTGTCATTATTTTAATTTCACAACTTTAGTTCATCCTTTAACTCAACTGGTATACTGCAACATAATGTATGTATGTCTTGTCAGCATAAATCTATTATTATAGTAATACATCATGGTGTCATCAGAACTTGTGCTAAATATTGGATGTTAAGTTTAAGGGCTAAAAGTGACAGACACTTATCATAGTGAAAAAACTAACTTTTTGCAAAAGAGGAAAATGGAGCATGATAGATGATTTGGTTATCCAGAAGTAAGAAAGTAGAGGAAGCAAAAAAGCCTTTGAACTTTGAATAAGGAGTTGGAGTGACACACAGCACTGTGCCAGTGTCACGAGCCTATCAGCCCTTTAAGGGTAGTGGCTATATGCATGATTTGGTGTGCACGCCAATCCGAGACATATACTAACTTACAAAGCCAAATTCCTTAGATGGATGAGGATATGATCAGCACAAGGACCTTGGCATAGTGGCAAAGTGGCAGTTCTTGTACCTATGTGTTTGCTTGTCTCCTCAGCACCTTACACCATTCACATCTTGCTGTGATATTCCCCCATCATCACAAATACCACTTTACCCTTCATTGTGGTTATGCAGTCCCCCACATAACCTACAAGGGTATCATTCCCTCTTCCACAGCAACCACTTTCTCTTGCTCATTTATACCAAGCTCTAACTCTCTAACTAACTCAACTCAAATCAAACACAAACAAACAAACAAACAGGTCTTCCAATATGGAGATGAAGAGAGAAACCAACAACAAGGAGGATAGCATACACACCATAGTGTTCACAGCAGGTACATTTCTGCTAATGGTGTGTCTAAAACACTTTCTAGTTGAGCAATGGCGTGCTTGGGTGTTCCTCATCCTCAATGTCATTCTTTTAGCCATTCTTTTCATGTCTCTGAGGCCAACCAACTTAGATCACAGTTCAGAAACTGAAAGCAGTGTTGAACAAGTGAAGAGTGACAACAAAGAGAAAAAGAAACCAAATGGGGGTTCTCAAGAAACTGAAGAAGGAAAAGATTGCTACATAAAGCAAAGTTGGAGTAGTAGTAGTAGTACTAGTACTGGTAGTAATACTGATACTTATGTTGATGCTGAGAATGAAGTTGCAGAAGAAGATGAGGAAGATGCGGAGGAAGAGGAGCAGGTTCCAGTGCTGTCCAAGGAGGAGTTGAATGAGAGAGTGGAAGCTTTCATTACCATGTTTAGGCAGCACTTGATCTCTGATGTCAAACAAGCTGAAAGTTTCAGACTCCACAAGATTGAAGTGTCTTGCTGTTGAGCCTATGTTCTAAGAAAACAGCTACAAATTTTGTTTCATTATTAATATTTTTGTCATTATTTGTTCTAAATGATCAAGGATGTGTCTTACTGCTGCTATAATGTTTGGATTGATCCAGTTTTCTGGCCTCTTCTTCACATCATCCTTATCCCTTTAGGTTATTACTGATAATCTCATCAGTAATGAACACAAATTGTTCATTTACTAGATATATTTTGTTGTATACATGAATTCATGACTTTATGGAAACTATCTTAACACGAAAATCGAAAAACATCAAACACTTTCATAACTACTAGTTCTGCTTTGATCTGAAACACAATCTTATCCTTTTCTTGCCTAACTACTTTCATTATCACTTTCTTAACCAATAATAAAAGTGCTTTATCTCAAATCCCTATGCATTGGTTTAAGATATTTTAAACTTAACGTGTTTTTCAAATAACAAGAAAGAAAGAATCTCGTTCCTTGCAAAAGTCCCTAGTGGCAGTACAGTACCCAACTGAAAAGTCTGAAATCAGAATAAGAATATTAATGATAACAGTCTCTCAATTTTGTTCTTTTATTTTTCCTACCCTCTATTCATATCTGTTGAGAAAAGCTGCATAATTTGAAACTTCATATAATTAGAACAGAGAGGCTGTGAAAACAGTTAATTACTGTGAAAGAAACATTTGACTCTGTCTTCTTGAATTCTCGTAGATGAAAACATTAATTTTTTATTCTTATCAAACACTTTTCCCTTTCACTTATACAAAAATATGCAACTTTGTTGTTTAGATATAATGTCTCCTAAAGTTTTGAACAAGTTAAACTATTTATTGACATGTAGCTAAGCCATCCATAAAGTTTTGACACATTTTTTCATGAGATACAATAAGAAAGAGACAAAAACAAAAAGCTAAAAAGTAGGGTCTAAGCCATAACCTGACAGTTTTGCAGCCTCTCCAAAGGTCTGTATGATCTATGGCTGTTTTGGTGGTGATTTATCCAAATAAAATAAAAAATCTTCTAGAACCAATTTTGCTTCTTTTATGCTCTCCACCAAGTTTAGCCAAGAGGGTTTGTCCCTCTTTATCATGTAACTAATGATTCATGGTGAAATATCTTGCCTTCAAAGTCTTGTCTACCAAGTAGTCAGGATTCTGATGTAGTCTCTACCACCCTTGTGTTGCTATAACTCCTCTTTTCTTATGTCATTCCTCATCTTTGACTCAATAAACATATAAAATTATGAAAATTATTTTAAAAGAATGTTAATTAATAACATATTTTCCTTTTACAAGTTTAAATCTCAAATATATATATATATATATATATATATATATATATATAAATCAATAGAGTAGACACAAATAGAAAAACCAAGCCACATAGGGCATTTTGAACAACACACTGAAAAGAACCAAAAAAAGTTATTTTATTTTTTAGCAATTTAAGTAAACACCCCCTCATAATCTTACCATTTTTCAAATTTCAAAATTCTCCTCTCATTTCCCTCCTACCTAAACCCTATTTTTTCATTTCTCTTCACTCTATGTTTTCCATGATTTTGTTCTTTTTTTTCTTTCAATTTTCTTGATATTCGGTAGTTATATATTTTCAACTGTTTTTTTGTTTTGTATGTTTTTTTTCTTATATATTTGAGTAGTTATATATTTGAGCTTATATTTATTTTTTTTTTTATGTTTTTGTGTTCTTTTCTTTTCTGATTGACTTTGATTTCACGAACTTAGGATTTTCACTTACTTTTCTTATTTTGTATGTTTTGAATATATTTTATTTATTTCTCTTTTCTTCGTTCTAAAAGGTCTTATTATCTGTTAGTCTGATTAAGGAATCAAGATGTAGGATTGATCTTTGAGATGAGCTCTTCAATTTAGACTGATTAGTTTTTCCGTTCATTTAAGTTGATGGTTTGAATTTGATTTTCATATTTAAAACTATTTTGAACTAATTCACTTAAAAAAAGTACTCATTTGATCAATTGAACAAGTATAAGTTCTCTTAAAAAGTACAAAATATATGTCTGATATATGATATAGTGCTGAGCGACACCAAGGTAATGTTGAGCGTCCTATTTTGCGAATGGGATAGTGGTGAGCGGTGCTAAGGTGACACTAAGCGTCTAGTTCTGCGAATGCTTTGGCGTTAAGTGATAACATGATACTGTTAAGCATCATCTTACACTCCAAGTTTGGAACAATTTAGTTCCAAGACTATGGGGGATAGAAGTGTATCATTGAGAGTGACATTTTGTGAGAAGACTGGCACTAAACACCATGATTGACGCTAAACGTCACCTTTTGCGAGAAGTCTAGCATTGGGCACCACCCCTAAGCTCTAATGTATATGTTTGAAATATTCTTCTTCTTTAGCTGTTTGAGATAGAATGCAATGTTGGGAATCCAAGTGTGAGTCCAAGTCCCACATTGGATAGAAATGAGAAAGTAGAGTAGTATATAAAGGTGAAAGACCCATTAACCCATTGCTTTAAGGTTTTGGGTAAAGAGTGGTGTTGATCCCTTATATAGTTATCTCCCATGTTATTGGTGTGTGTGGTAACTTGGTGGGTGAGTTATTCCATCACCATATGAGTCTTATTGTGTTATGATCATTTTTATGAATGAATGACGTGTGATGATAAATTTATGTTTATTTTATGAAAAATCTTTTATGCATTAGCTTATTGTGTTGTTTCTTTTGGAGTTTCTTGTGTGTCTGTTTGTTTCTTTTGCAATGATGATCACCTTATTGGTGTGATGAAACATCTATAATGGAAGACGATGATGATGTAGAGTATTATTCCTTGTCTTCTAATAGTTTTAAATATATTATATTATTACGGTTATTTTTTATAACTATATATATATATATATATATGTGTGTGTGTGTGTGTGTGTGTTGAGATAATCAACTTTGTTTATCAATCTTATAATGTCGTATTTTATATTTATCGGTTGTAAATTACTAAAATTGAGATGTTATAATAATTAATCAAATTGAACAATTTTTGAAATTATTATCTTATAATACATGGATTTTGAAATAAACATTTATTAAAATTTATATTTTCAATTTTCTCATTAAAACAAAGTTATTTTACACTTAAATTTATATAAAGGTTTTAAATTTTGTTGATATACATTGTGTTCAAAGAAGTATGTACCAATAATATGATTTTAGACTTCTTTATGTGAGATTGTGTTGGGCTTCCATTACTTTAGTGTAAGAGGAGAAATTGTGTGTCAAATACAACTTTAATTAGTAATAATTTTTAATTTTCTTTTAAAATAAATTGAAATAATTCATGACTCAAGTTCAATTTAGAATGAATTAAAATTTTGAAAAATGACACAAATATCATGTAATTTTTTTAAAAGTTGTATTTTAATTTATGCATGACCTACCTCATATTGTTTTCTAACTAAAAATAAATATTTTTTTTAATTTAATATTATATTAAAAAAATTATCCAATTCCTTTTTGTCATCACCCAAAAATGGCAGGTGGAAGGGAGTAGGCATGGAGTGGACAAGTGGCTTCGATGATAGTATTTAAGTTAAGTTTCTAAATCCTCTTGCCACTTTTTGACACCACTTTTTCTCTCTAAAACTTATTCTCTTTTCTTTTCTCCTCCTTCTCTCTATATTTCTCCATCTTCTCTCTACATTTCTCCATCTTCTCTCTACCAATTCTTATCTTTCTTTTTCTTCGATCATCATTCAGGCAACGCTTGAGTATTCCCGGTGCCAAGAGCTACACTTTGAACAGATCAAATCGTGATTTAAGCTGGTGAGTTATTTAGACCCTTCATTTTCTAACACATGCAAGCCAAGTTTTGGTTGCATGAGTGTATCATCTCATTTTGATAGCAATTCTGGTCTTGTATTTGGGTTAGTTTTTAAATCGGTGAGCTCTAAGTGGATAAAACTGGTAGTGGTGAACCATATTCTACATTTGTGAGTGTTCGGTCACGTTAAGAGGTAAGGGAAGCTAGATAATTTAGTTACTTGATTTTGATGTATAAATATGTTGTTTGATAACTATGCATGTGTATGAAACTGATCTAGATAAAGTTGTATGAGTATAAAACTGGATGAATTGGATCTTCGTACAGTTGGTGTGGAATATTGATGATGTGATTATGATAATTTTGTATCTGCATGATTATGGTTCAGTGGTCGAGTGAAACTGAAGGTAGTGTGTTATTGAAATGGGGAAATTGTATTCGGTTTGGGTTTGGTCTGTATAGAAAATCTGATTCCTGGTCATTGAGTTTATGATTCTACAGTTATTCTGCAGAATTATGTAGTTCACTTAGAGTTCGTGGTTGACCGCTTGGTCATGCTCTGATTTGGCCATTCGGCCTTCTTTTGTGTTCGTTAATTATTTGGGTTGGTGTCTTTGAAGTCTTCCCAGTTCATGGCCATTCGGTCTTAGTAGTGCTCGGTCAAATGCCAACACTCGGTCTTAGTAGTGCTCGGCCAGATGCCAACACTCGGTCTTAGTAGTGCTCGGCCAGATGCCACCACTCGGTCTTAGTAGTGCTCGGTGATGCACTAAGCGCTCGGTCCTGTACTAGTTGTTAGGCTAGTTATAGCGCTCGGTCCTGTACTAGCCGTTAGGCTAGTTATAGCGCTCGGTCCTGTACTAGCTGTTAGGCTAGTGATAGCGCTCGGTCTTGTACTAGCCGTTAGGCTAGTTATAGCGCACGGTCTTGTACTAGCCATTAGGCTAGTGATAGCACTCGGCCTTGTACTAGTGCTGAATATCAGAATTGTATTAAGTTAACAATGTTAAGTCTAAATCATAAGTGTGTGTTATAATTCTAAGTGTTGACTCCTACTTGAGTCTTATCCTCTAAATGACCGCTTGGTCAAGTTCTCATATTGGGGGTGCTCTCCCGTTTAGTCCTTTGCATAGGTTATGTTGAGCCTTCACGTTTGGTCTTGTTTAAAGGTGGGATTATTGTTTCACTGTGATGTGTGATATGTATTTAAAGATATGATGAATGAGGAAATATGTTGTTAATGAAGTATGATATTTAAATTGTGATACACATGAAATCATATGGATATGAAAGAGTATTCCAGGGAGGAATATCTCAAGATTGG